TAAATGTCACACCTGAATGCTCACATCCTTTTAATTATGTTTGAAATTATGAACATTGCTCAACATCATGAAAATTAAACCTTATTTTCAATAAGCAATCCTGAAAAATATTTGGGAGTGCTTAACTTTTTTCCAGGTGTATATATATATACAGAGAGAGAGAGAGAGAGACACACACACTATTTTTTGAATAGTGGCTCTACCTAAACACTGCACCTCACTGTTTATTGGCAATAAAATGAAATCTCTAAATTATGGAACAAAGTAGTTGCCCTTCAAACCACCAGTTGTTTTAACTTATTTTATAAGTGGAGCCAAGTTGACAGGTGATGTTGATCGGTCATTTCTGAACCTGTTTAATTAGTATTTCATTCTCCCCAATTTACCTTCATTGTATTTATTGTTTTATATTTATGCATTTATTTTTTCTACTAGTTAAAGAAAAGATTTGATTAATTCAGCATAAAGTAGCTGTTACTGATGTTTACAGGTCAGAAGTGCAATGTTTAAAAATGTATTTTATTAAAAGCATTCAAAAATCCATGCAATAATTCTACTCTCTTAACCAGGGTGCAGAGATGCATCAGATGTGGTAAACTACAAGCCCTAATTATCATATTATAATGCTTATAAAGAAATGATATGATAATGTAGCCTTTAGTTATGGCCCTCAAGTGTATCTCTTTGTTACATGACACTGTTAAGTTTATAGATGTAATTTCTGCTAAAGTAAAAATCCAATTAAAAAACATATTAAGAACATTCTTAGATTTGCCATACAGTTTGAAGAAATCACAGATGTTGCAAATTTAGCTCAGCTTCTGGTATTATAACATTACTGTTATAAAGAAGAAGTGTGTGAAGAATGTAGCCTTTAGTCATGGCTCTCATGTGTATCTCTTTATTAGATGACACTGTTGAGAGGTTTGTAGATGTAATTTCTGCTAACATAAAAATCCAATTAAAAACGTATCAATTGATACGTTTGGTCTGAAATTGGCCATACAGTTGTATGAAATCACAGATGTTCCAAATTTAGCTCAGCTTCTGGTATTATAACATTACTCTTATAAAGAGTAAGTGTGTGAAGAGTTTGTTTCACCAAACACTGGAAGGGCAAGCTACAGGAAAAGCCATCTTTTTTCTCTCTCTTGTTGATGAGTTTCACCACAAACTTTGATTAATTGTGTTGGGGTATTCACTGAAGGAGCAGCTCTATTTATGGAGAACAGGAAAGGTTTCAGAGCCGAAATAAATACTCTTGCTCCAGATGAAACATTCACACACACTTAGCTTCTAAGAAATTGCAGCTCGAAGAAAACAAAGTGCTACAAGATACCGTGAGTGTTGTGAACTTTGCAATACTGAAAGATTTGAACAGCAGGCTGTTTACCAATCTGTGTAGAAATGAGATCCATGTATGATAAGCTCTTGCTGTATACAGAGGTACACTAGTTGTTTTGCAAGAAGGTTTTCAGTTGCATTGTTCAAGTGAAAGATGAAATTTGTATCCTTTGATAGACTGCAACCCAACTAGCAGTGCATTTTCAGGATGAAAAGTGGATTCTAGGACTGTGCAACCTGGCTGGTATTTTCAATAAACTCAAAAGCTTGTCACTGGAAAGTCTAAATAGCTTTTTAGACTTTCTAAGTATTTTGCAGCTGAGTGACAAAGTGTCTGTATTTCACAAAACATTATGATATGAAAAGACCAGTTTGAGAATGTAAATTGCAAAACGTTTCTTTGCCTCAGTGATTGGAAGAAAATTAGTTAACTTAGTCTTATTCATGATGTTGTTTCTACTCATCTCAAAAAACTTCAGTGTCAATTTACAAATAAATTCCAAGAATCACTGGATAATGACTGGATCCAGAATACATTTAATGGTAATATAACTTCTCATATGCCAATGGTAGCTAAAGAAAAGCTTGTAGAATTATCCAGGGATAAAACTCTTGTAGCAGAACTCAAGTCAAAACCTCTTGGGAACTTCTGGATGCTAGTATGCAAAGAATATCTTGACCTATCAAGAAAAGCAATGGATGTGCTTTTGCCTTTCTTGCTTGTATGAGGCACTGTTTTCTGCTTTAACAGCAAGCAAAAGAAAACAGTGATCTCAACTGCAAGTAGAGGGAAATCTAAGAGTTGCTATGTCAACAATTCACCCAAGAATACACCTCACCTTATCCAAAACTCAAGGCTATTTTCACAATAAATTAGCAAGTAAGCTGAAAGTGTTTACCTAATGCCACAAACAATTTTAAGACTTGTTTTATTTTTTCTAAGATGTGCAACAAAATGCATGTTTAGAGGGAGGGGGGGGGGCAGTATTAAAAAAAAGCATGCACACCACTGGTGTAACTGACCCTAAGACCATGCTGATGGATAGATATATTAATTAAATATAGTTTCTACAGTTAAAATATCTGTATTTTACTGTATTGTATGAGAACTACGAGGGCAGTTGTAAAGCTTCAATCTGTTACATTAAAAAATTAACCTTACCTTGGTTTCAACTGCGGAATCATACATTTCATGTTGCACTGGTTTAACCATAATCGGAGTCAGAGTATCATATCGACTAGTATCTTTCCCTGGTTCTGTAAAAAGCTATATCACAACATAACTTTTATAAAGATATCCAGAAACATTGCAATATGGTCAACTATAAAATACAATATTACAAATTGATTCTTATGTGATATCTAGTGTAATATACATCTTAAAAACCAAACTGAAAGAAATTATAAACAGTTCACTACGCAAAATAATAGGCAAATAAATTATAGCAATTTGTAGAACTTTTCTATGTTAACACACATACACAAAGAAAGGTGAAGAAAACCTAAAAATTTAGCCAAGAAGTCGAATGGCACAAAGTCTTACTACTGCACTAAGCCACATCTAAACTCCATTAGTTGGCAGAGTCAATCATAATCAGCGATCTTCCACACCTGAAGCCACAGGTAAATAAAACATCATTATCAGTCATTTTCACACCTGTATCAATGATAAGCTCCATTACTTGGCAAACCTCATCATCATCACACCTGAAACCACATTAAATTCTGTCATCTTCAGCTTTGCTGGCTTGAGAGCTGTCATTGTTCAATGCTACAATTCTCAGATGGTCATGGTGTAGTTTGCTTTTATAATCTAATATTAGCTAATGTGTTCATGTTATACAAATATCAGGACTACAACTTGATGACTTATCGATTCACACACGAATAAAAAAATTTCACATGACAGTACAGTAAGAACCCGCTCAGCACCAACCCGCTTTAAGCTGATTTATTATAGAGCGCATCTCCTTGAGAGATTATTTTTTTCACAAGAGAGAAAATAAAATTATGAAAATCTATAACTCTCTGTACACTACTTTTTCATACTAATGGTAGTAGTGCACTAAATAATTTTTATTTAATAAAATAATGCAACAAAGAACATAGAATAATTACATGCAAAAAGCAGACAATGTCCTGTAACTATCACAATTTTTCTGGCATTTCTAGCAACGCAATATGAACCATTAAAATGTCATCCATCCACACAATATCATTCCTGTGGGAAAAAAACATTTTCTTAGGAAGCAATATACAAATATTTCTGTACAGAAAACAATGTAATATAATATGCCATTTGATAGAAGAAGAGCTTGCTTGTCTATTAGCTATAACTAATATAGTCGTAAACATAAGAGAGAACTACAATGTATTGACAAATCCTGAAAGAGAAAATGTGGCTGGTGGGTGTGGTAAGAGGGGCCTAATATTCTATTTGATGGCTCTGTGACCAAACAAGATTGAAGGCTAATAAAAAATTAGATTTTTTCCAACAATGACGAGTGAGTAATTTATGTTAAATTTACCAATACCTAAATAAAGCACTTATACATCATTCACAGGTAAGAAACAATGCCTTCAATTACATATTTCCATATATGTAATGTTAATATTACCCTATTTAGAAATGATTCATTTAAGAGCTCTGTTCTCAGGAACCCTTCCTGAGTGCTAAACATAGTATTACTGTATTAAGTTATGATGATGATATACACTCTCAATGAATTATTCAAAACGGATGAAATTCAGAAAACAAGAAAGGGAATGTATATTCTTTCAATACCCTTGTCCCATGTTCTGAAGTTAATAAATTCTTCCAGATTCTTTTTTGTATAAATGTAGACTTATTCTGAAGTCAAAATAAGTTACTACACTGGGACTTGCTTCAGCAATTCTCTTGTGCATTCTCTTACTGATGGTTTAATCATTCTACACATGGAGAATACAAGTATAAAAAAAGCTCAAGTGATTTATACTAATGTATTCAAAAATATTTTTAATATCTAAAATAAGTGTTATTTTCAAGTTGTTGCTTCTTCTGTTGCATGAAGTTGAAATTATAAAATTTATGAGATACAGTACTATGAATAATGAATATATCTAAGTTACAACACACTTAGCTCAAATATCAAAGCAACTGGTTAGCTTATTATAAGATATTAATATCATTTTCCAATTTTAGACATATCAATATGGCTGATCAATTCCATCTTAAATTATATCAAAAATTATAAATGACATTTATAATATCAAACAATGTACATATTTGTTGAACCATGCTTTAAGCAAAAACCCTACTGGTAACTGTCTTTAAAAAAATTTAGGTTTGTTTCTGATTAGATTTAGATTAGAGTTAGATTTATAAGTCCATTACATCAAAAAGTAAGAAATTTCTAGCCAAGTCCTTTTCTGATCAAAATAAATTTAGGATTCATACAGGATTCTAAGACTTTCCAGGTGTTTCACGTTCTGCCACAAGCAGAATTAAACTTTCATTTTACATCAAACATGTCCACCTGCAGAAACCGCATCAGCAGTCATCAGTACTTGTAAAGCACAAAATTTATAATGGCTGAATACAATATAAATAAACTTGATACTGATGTCCAAACTTTTGAGTTAAGCTAATTATTTCATAGAAGAGTTTAATATTAAAACTGAAATTTCAGGACGATTCCAAGACCATGACTTAAAAACATCCATTTTTCAAGATTGCCAGTGTTAAAATTTTTTGAGTCCATTTTCCATGACTATCCATAATTTCTAGGACCCTGAGTGAACCCTGTAGATGATATGATTAAGCTCAAGTACCATCAGTATAAAAAACAACATACTAGTTGTGTTACACATACAGTCATCAGAAAATATTCTACGGTAATAAAAGTCAAACCTGCTTCTGAAATTGAGCACGTAGAAGACAAACAACAGATTTTTGCCATACTGATATTTCACAAAATATGAAAGTATGACATAAAAAGATATAGAAAAAATTATCTAGTAAGTTCCCAAGACTGAATATGAGATTCCACTTGTTGGGGACCATAAACACATCACAAGAGAGTACTGCTCTGAGACTATCTGAATAACTATACAGGCTTGAGACAAAACACCCAAATATAAAAAATTACAACATTAGGTTGTTAAAGTCTGCATAACAACAAAGGGAGGTAGCTAAACCAAGCAATTTAAAAAGCCACTATTTAATAAGCAGCAGCCTATGTATGACTGAGATACTCCAAGTCCAAATGAAAACAAAGTGGACAAATCTGGGTTTAGAAGTTTTCTGGAAGAACATGGAAAGAAGTTTCAGAACAGCAGCCCATAAAAGTACAGATAAACAATAACTAAAAGTCCTAAAATTGTTTATGATAAAACTAAGAGATCAACAGGAAAACAAATGGAATCAAAAAGAAAAAAAAAGTAAAATGAGTGTACAATCTGTAGGTTTGTAAAAGGAACAGAATCCACAGAAAAATCTTTCAAAACACAAGTCATCTGAGATCCACAGTAAAAACTGTGGACAATTATATTTGGAAGAAGCCAGATAGTCCTAGAATTTAAATTTACTACTGCAGGAGTGAAAAATGAAGAAGAAACCCCATCATAACAACCTGGTTCATCACGTAATACTCAAAGGACAACATTTAATGGTCTTGGACTTGAATTTCAGCAGGATAAAGATCTTAAATATGCTACCCTGTTGAAAAAGAGGTATACGGCAGAGGAGGAAAAGTTAGTGATATATATATTATAAAACAGTCAGTCCAAAGTCTTGATACTAATCCAACTGAAAATGCCTAGAACCAGTTGAAAAAGTAACAGATTCAGACATTTAATGCTTGGTAGATTGTACAGAGGACTGATGGATAAGGTCAAAAACTGATAGCTTCCTTGGTCAGTTGATATTTCCATATAGTTAAGGTTAGAGGTGGACTTACTGACTATTGATTCTTCAGTTTGTTGTGTTCTAAGGTACATTTTTTGAATATTATTGGGTAAAAGGGTATCATTTAAATCCAAACAATACTCTTCTTTAGCAACCTTTCTTGAAAACTTGAATGCTGCTACTCTGGACTCAAGTTTATAAAGAGTATCTGTATCTTTAAAAGTTAAAACATGCATTTACCCAACAAGATTTAAAAGATTAACTACTGCAATTACAGTGATGAAGTTAACTAGAGATAAGGAGAAAGATGATTAAAAACAAGAAAAAACAATGTCAACTGTGCAGATAATGAACAAATACAAAAGTTTGGCTGAAGAGTGAACTGGGGGATGCACAACAATAATTAGCATTCATGGAAATAGGTTTTACATGATTCCAGCTATATACAAAGAAATTTAAAAGATTATTCTAAATATGGACCTGTAACTGGATTTAAACATCTTCTAGTTTAACAACATTAAGAACATCTGCATGTATGTAAAAAAGTGGACCAATTATTAAACTTTTTTGTACAGGTAAGATAGAGCGCAGTATTAATTGTGTTTAAAAAATATACAAGTGTATAAAAAACTTCCATAACAGCTAATAAAAAGTCAAGAAATAGTTTCCAAAATGGTAGAGCAGCACGTGTTAATTCTCAAACGTGTGTGTGTTACCAAAGCTAACAGAAAAGCATTTCAATGTTGGTTTTTAAAATTTTGATGGTTTTAGGGGTAAATAAAAATCTGATTCAGTAGTAATTCATTTAATAAACACAAAATAGTTCATCAAAAACATTTTACAACAAAACAAGAAGTTTTAAAAATTAAAACATGCATTTATCCAACAAGATTTAAAAGATTAACTACTGCAATTACAGTGATGAGGTTAATTAGATAAGGAGAAAGATGATTAAAAATAAGAAAAAACTGTCACCTGTGCAGATAATGAACAAACACAAGAGTTTGGCTGAAGAGATGTTGAAGAGTGCTCTAGTTTTAGTTGATGAACTGGGGGATGCACAACTGTTGGCATGAGCATATCGTACCGGGTTGTTTCATAACCAGGCTCATCAAATTCCTTAAGTGAAAAAGACATTACGAATAGATTTTTAAGAAGACAGTTAGGGCCTGGATGCATTAAAAAAAACAAAAAAAAACAGATAAGAACTAAAGAATATCTTCCTAAAATATATTAAACAGTGCTACCAATATATGTCAATGCTATTGGGGTCATGTAAAGTTTGTCAAATGCGCAGTCTGTGACACTTTCAAGTTAGCCCTATTCTATAAAAGCTGCTCTTTCTATTGATTGTAAGCATGCCACTCAATTCTAATTTGTTGCCAAGCAACAGCCCTTTTTAATTTTAAAATTGGGTGTGGCTTCTCTCGGATGGGAGAAGATTTACAACTTCATTTTTCGAAGTCTGTTCTTAGAATTTGAAGCAAGTTAATGGTAAACAAGCTCTATACTTGTTCTTTGATCATTTACACAAAACAGGTACATTACACACAATAGAGCTGAAATAAAAGAAACAAAAGCTAAGATATTTTTAACTTGGAGCAAGTCACATGACAACAAAACTGAAGTTTTAATTATTGTTTCAAAAGTTTCTTTAGAAATAAAGGAATAAAACTTAGATAATATAAACATTGAATGATAACATACTTGATAATGCTAATTTCATTTTGAATGTAACTCAGTAACACTTTGTGTCACGCACATAAAGAGGCTTAAAGAGCACCTCGTCTGGAAAGGATTAATGAAATTTGTTTTTTTTCATGACAGCTGCTCTTTCTCACAGTAGTTAACAAGTGGCCAAAGAAATTAAAGGCTTCATCTCTTGGTTTGTCTACCTGTAGATATTTTAAATGCTCCAACACTGGTGACTCATAGTCATATGGATTTTGCCTGGATTTCTCGTTTGTCTTTTTCTTCAGGGTATTTATTTTGTGTGACCGAACCAATGATTGACTCATCATCCACTGGGACAGTGCATAGCTATGCATCATCATCAACAGTGGCTGCAGCAGCCATAAATTACTCTAATATTGAGAAATGTTCTGTGTCAGAGTCATCCTCCAAACCAGAGGGAGAAAAGCCATTCAAATTGTTTATATTGCCAGCAATTATAAAGTCATGCATAAAGCAATTTTGAATTGTTTCTTTCTTCACCATATCCCATACCTTTTTGAGGATGTGCATCACTTCCAGGAGATTAATGTTGAAATCCTCTCCCGAGATCAGACTTGCTATCTTCTTGTATGCTAGTATTTTCTAGTATAAGGTTTTGAATAATGCCCTGGTCCATTGGTTGAGGGATGGAGGTTGTTTTGGCTGGCAGAAACACAAGTTTTACAATCCTCAGTTTTCGTACTTGGGACGAGTGGAGCAGTTATCGACAAGTAGAAGAATTTTCCACTTCTGAAAATGGTAGCAACAATCAAGTTGTAAAAATAGTTGATGTCATCCGTGCCTTCTGGTTTGCTTCATAGAAGAATGGGAGATGATTGATGTGGCAAAAACAGCATGGATTGTTAAATTTGCCAATTAGTAATAACCCAGTTTCTCCAAGTTATCCATATTCATTGCAACCAAAAGAAATAATAAGTAATTGGATGAGACCGTAACCCGTTACCTGCCGTGGCCATTTTGTCTTATTGTGAGGGCAAAATCACATTTGTGAATTGAAAAAATTATAGAGAACTTATCTTTTATTGGATTTCAGATTTTATTTTGTAAATAGTAGCATAACATTCAATTATTTATACAAAATTGTATTATTTAATGAAAAAAATAATAAAATACATTTGAGACTGTAAATAAGCACCCTCTAAGCATAAATTTTTTTAAAAAAAAATTCAAATAAAATTTTTCCTTCCACTTCAGTACTGGTCCTAAACCTTTTCTAGTCTGTTTTCTTTATAAAACAGCATCTGAGCATGTTAAATCTCAGTTGTAGAACTTTTAGCCAATCCTAGTCGAAGGTGTCAATTTCAGTACCATGTTATTCCAATCGCTGTATTTCACGTTTGACAAATCATAGGATGATAAGGAAAGCATGTGACAAAACGTTGTTCCCTGG